GCTCCACTTCTGATTCTGCTCTCTGTTATGGCCTGGGAAAACAGCAGAAGATGGCCTAGGTGCTTGGGCCCCTGAGCCTGTGTGGGAGACACAGAGGTAGCTTTAGGCTCCTGGTTTCTGATCGGCCCAGCTCCGGCCATTGCTGCCTCTCTGTAACTGTCTTCAAGTAAATAAATAAATATTAAAAAAAAAAAAGCAGCAAATATAACATGGGGAATTCAGATCTTATTTACACTTTTTTTGTGAATGACTATTGATTTCCTGATTGACACATAAAAGCCACACATGTGTATGGGTACCAGGAGATGTTGTGGTACACATGGATAGATGTTGTTACGTTCACATCAGGGTAATCCTATCTCATCAGACACTTATCATTTCTTTGTGGGGAAAACATTCACAATGCTTTCTTCCAGCTTAGTACGTCAGCGCTGTCAATCATCATTCTATGCCCCAAGAGAACAGCAAGACTTTTTTCTCCCGTCTAAATGTAGCTTGGGACCATCCCCCACCTTCCTCCAACTCTCCCTCCCTCCTCCTCTCCCCAGCCTCCGCTAACCACTGCTCTACACTCAATTTCTGTGACATCAACTTTCTAAGATTCCCTGTGACTGAGATCATGGGGTGTTTGCCTTTCTGTGCCTGGTTTATTTCACTTAACGTAACAGACTCCAGTTCCATCCATGTCGTCACAAACGATAGGAGTCTGTCCCTTTTTATGGCTGAAGAGCACAAGGGGGCTTCAAAGAATTCATGAACAGATGGAACTAAGATAATGTGCATTTTCCATGTACTTTTTCTTTTCTTTTTTTGAAAGGCAGATCGATAGAGAATTTCCACCCACCACTTTCCTCCACAAATGCCTCCAACAACCAGGGTGGACCACGCTGAAGTCAAACTCAGTCAAGGTCTCCCACATGGGGTGGCAGAGAGCCAAGTACCTAAGCCATTGCTGCTGCCTCCCAGGGTGCACATTAGCAGGAAGCCGGGATGGAGAGAGGAGCTGAGACTTGAGCCCAGGACTCTCAAATGGGATGTGCCCGTCCCAAGAGGCAACTCCACTGCTATACCAAACACTCGCCCCAAACTTATCTTTCAGTTCAGTTTTTCCATGGACTTGCTCATACCACGTGGTAGGAGTTAGCAGCGGACGGACACTTAGGCAGGTGCCATCTCCTGGCTACCGTGCACGGTGCTGCAGCACACGTGGGAGAGCAGGTGCCCCTTCAACAGACTGCATTTCCTCTTGTGGGAGTCTGGCAGTGGCCTTGCTGGGCTGTGTGGTTGATTTTCATTCTTCTCCCTTGAGGACCCTCCAGTCTGTAGCCACCGTGGCTGTACTGATTCCCGTCCTCACCAACAGTGTGCAAGGTTCCCCTTTTCTCCATGCCCTCACCAGCGCTTACCTGCCATCCACCTGGAGTGAGGTGATACCTCCGTGTCTCTGCTCATAGGTAATGGTAAGCTTTTTTTTTTTTTTTTTTTCCATAAACCTACTCCCCAAAGCCACTTGTATGTCTTCTTTTGAGAAACGTCTGTTGAAGTCGGTTGCTCATTTTTAAATCAGACTGGCTTTGGTTTCCTTTTGCTGTTGAGTAGGTTGAGCTGTCTGGGTGTTAACCCCTTAGCAGACGCATGGCTGCAAACGTCCCCTCCCATCTCGGCAGGTTCTCTTCGTTCTGCTCAGGTTCCTTTGCTCTGAGCCTTGCTGGAATCCCACCTGTCTGTGCTTCCGGGGCTTACGCAACCAATCTCCCTAGTACTGGTGTTTTCGTTTCGGACCGGGCACAGTCGGAGGCCTCCCAGGGCTGCGCCAGCCCTGGTCTCAGTGCATAGCATCACGGGCCCGGCGGGCAGCACTGCTCAACGAGGGTGTGTGCCACTGGAGCTTTCTGTGCTGCCTCAAAGTTCAAAACAAGCTGCAGCACGGAAAGAAAGGTCTTTGCCCGAGTGACTAAGACATGTTCCAGCACTTTCCCACAGGCTCCTGCACATCCCAAAATAACTGCCACCCTGGATCCCGTCTGCCGCGTAGGATTACAGGACCGCGTATAGGGTTACAGGTCAGCGGGCTGCCCAGCCACACTCGCATGGGGGCTTGCCCAAAAGCACAGCTCATAGGCAGTGCCACACTGGGGCTCCGGGCTGGGCGGGGCAGGGAGAAACACCAAGGATGGCGATCTTGATAACAGTACCAAGCACAAGTACCCAGGCCACCCAGGCCACTAAGAGGGGCTTCAGTCCGTGCCAGATGGCAGGGAGAAGTTCCAGAAAGAGAAAACAATCCATCCCAGAATTACATGTCTGGGGGGAGGAAGTGGGGGACAGCTGGCCCTGGGCTGTACCCCCGATACTTATTCCTGAAGAAATATCCACTCCGTCTGGGCATCAGAACATCAGAGGTGAAAGGGACCTCTCAAAGCCTCCTGCTACCCAGGGGACCCTGTGCCCCGGTCTGGACAAGGAGGTGTTGGGATGGCCCTGTCACCCTCAGGGGATTTAGACATGCCAAGGAAATGACTGGAGGAAACGCTGGTGGTCAGAAGGGGCCAGGAAGGTTCCACACGGTGGGCCTCACCGGGGGAGAGCTGGAAGAGGGCGGGGGCAGGCACCACACCACGGGGCAGGAACGGGCGGGAGCCACTGCCACAGGAAGCCAAGGGCTGCAGGTGTCAGGGCTGCACCTGGCTTTTGGTGTAGACCCCACGGCCTACTCTCTGTGCTACGTGCTTCATCTAAGAGACGGGAATGATCCCACCCAATTCTGTAACAGCGCATTCTTAAAAGACCTGGGAGAGGAGAGGTAATTCTCATTTTTATGGTACTTCCATGGTCTTTTCCGCTTTGGCCACCATGGTCCACCTGGTGCTGAAGAGACGAGACCGGGGTGGATCCAGGGCCTGCTCTGCTTCCAGCTGTGAGAGTCACTTCCTGTTTCCTCACCTGTTCAACAGCTACCTTTTGTCATGTATCAGGCACTACTTTCAACATCTGTAACAACTTCATCCTCCCCACCCTGTCACCTTACCAATGAAGAAGCCAGGAAGGGGACTTGTCCATTGTCCCAAAGCTATTACCCAGCAGAGCTGTGCTCAGAATCCAGGAGTCCAGATTCAAACCTGTGCTAATCTTGATTACATGTTTTCTACGGGACATGGTGATGAGTCAGTGAGACAGACCTCCAGTGATCAGTCTCCCCTGGTTCCTGCAGTAGTCCAGACACAATTACTAATAGCTTTGCAGCCAGCCCTGGTCCCCGGGCAAGGCCCAGGGATCACCAACTCACACCTGGCAACTCTTGTCCCGGTACCCAGGTTCCATCTAACTTGGATGACCGAAAATACTCTAACAGGGGCTGGCGTTGTAGCACAGTGGGAGCACTGGTTCCAATCCCGGCTGCTCCACTTTCCGATCCAGCTCCCTGCTAATACACCTGGGCAAGCAGCAGCAGATGGCCCAAGTACTTGTGCCCACACCACCCACATGGGAGACCCAGTTGGAGTTCCAGGCTCCTGGCTTTGGCCTGGCCCGTCTCTGCTGTAGTGGCCAGTTGGGGAGTGAACCAGAGGGTAGAAGATGGCTGTCTCTCCCCCTCTGTAACTCTGCCTTTAAAAAAAAAAAATCTTAAAAATTAAAAAAAAGAAAAAAAACTAACTACACAAAGAGCTACTTAAGTCAATCAGTGATAAAAAAATACTGTCCACCTAATTCAGTAACCACCCAAGGGTTAATGCAGCGGTCGGCTGAGAATGGAGGCCCACATCCCGAAAAGTGGTTGAATTATCTTTGGTCCATTTTAAAAATAGTCCCCTGGTTTTTTTCCTACTTACATGTTGGGAGTTTCTGCAGTCAGTGGCATGTCGGCTTGTACTCCCCGTGAGTTCACCCAGGAACCATGCTGGCAGACGCCCACCGCATGACGTCAACCTTCCTCAGCACGCTGAGTGGCAAGCACACCACGGTGTATTTTTGTGCGGCACCGTCAGGCACCAAGATTAAACTCAATACAGCCATGAGGAATTCAGCTGGGGGCTCCTAAGTCAGCCGGCTCATGCAGCCCCAGGGTCTTGAGCTTTTCTCTCCTCACTTTATTTGGAAAACAACTGAAAAATAAAAATCGAGCACACCTCCGCCTTCTGGGAACCCTGGCTCTTTCCAAGCTCCAAAACACACTGGCACAGAAAGAACCTTGGGGCGCGCACGTGGGGCAGATGTTAAGATGCCTCTGGGGATGCCCACATCCCTGTGGGAGTGCCTGTGTCTGAATCTCCGCTCCAGTCTCTGATCCCAGCTGCTTGTTAATTCACACCCTGGAAGCAGCAGGTACTTGGGTCCCTGCCACCTACCTGAAGACCCAGACTGACTCCTGGGCTCCTGGCTCCTGCCTGGCTCAGCCCTGGATATTGTGGCCATTTGACGAGTGAATCAGCAGGTGGGAGATCTCTGTCTCTGCCTTCCAGATAAATATCTTTTAAAAAAAGGATTTGTGTTACCCAGTGGAGTGTGTGCAGCTGGCCCGTAACCCCAGAGGCTTCTGGGAACCCAGCCTCGGCAGACCTGGTCCCAGTCTGGTTTGGTGACTCAGATAAAGAGGACCCAAAGACTCCTAGAGCCTACATCCCCCTCCCAGTGACCTGGACTCCATTAAACACTTTGGCAATGTGGGGACGGACTTCTCTGAGCACTTCTGACCCAGCTCAACCCCATGGCAAGGCCTAAGGCCAGGTGGGCACAAACTGTTGCCCAGCGCCACCTTTGCTGTTGGCTGGGGCTGTCTGAAGGGGCAGCAGGCATACACCTGCTACCTGAGTCCACAGCCCTGTGTCTTCCCAGAGCCCAGCTCTCATCTGAGACCACATTTACAAGCTGGCTGTAGACACCACGACCCCAGACCAGGCCTGCAGAAGCCCTGCCACTAGCTCTGCAGGCGGGGACAAGGTCTCAGGGCTGCTGCTCTTTCCCAAGATTTAGAAACCACAAAATAAATAAGTAAAATACTGTGAGTTGTGTTACTACTTTATTTTCCTTTTTTTAATGTAGCATAAAGTCATTCAACATACAGATATGGCTCCTTACACATTTACTCTATCTAAAGTTAGATACTTGAACTACTGAGATGAAGAAAATCATCCCATTAAAACAAAAATGGCAACATTTCTGAGAAGTGAGTTATGCTTACATGATGGGAAATCAGCTCCCCATCTACCCCCAACAACGCCTTCAGTCCAGAGCTAAAGGAAGACAGTGACCACAGCTGGCGTGGTGCCCATGCAGAGGGCCCCAAAACAAGCAATGGGGTTAAACAAGCAGCTTCTTTCTTCGTGTAGAACAAGGCTACGGAAGAGAAGCATCGTCTTCCCTGTAGCCCTTCTATTAGTGTGTTGTGCCTCCACCCAAGTTACTGCGTACCAAGCGGCTACAAATAACAAAAACAAACTGACTGAAAGTCCCTGAAATGCATGCAACTTAAAATCCCCAGAGCACACAACCCAGTCCACGTCTCCAGCCTGACCCCACTCAGAGGAGACTACGCTGTCGCTGGGCTCCCCTGGCTCCCAGCTGGGTCCGTCGTGCCACTGGGGTCTGCAGTGGTTCCTTCTTTGGCTTCTGCCTGCTGGGTTTCAGTCTGGGGGTCTTCATTTCCGGCACTTTTCTTCCCCTTGTCTGCGGCCATCTCCATGATTTCCTGCAGTGGCCGATCAGGCTCAAGGTTGCTGGGCTGGAGTTCATAAACCTGGACTTGACCTGGGACATCGATTGCTTTCTGTTCGAGTTTTTCCAAGATGGTCTGGACCTTCCTGACACCGTCTCTCCTGGCCTGGCGCACATCAGCTCGTCCCTCCGGGTCCACGGAATCCAGGGCCAGCAGCTCTTTGGTCAGATACTCTTCAATCATCAGGTACTTCTTGTCGGTCTTCTTGCCTTCGAAGTTGTCCACAGCCTGCTCCAGCCCTTGCACCTTCTCCAGGATGGCTTCCACCTTCAGCACACCTGGGTGTTTCGGGGGGGCCTCAGCTTCTCCCGGCTTGGGGGCTGGTGCGTCGGCAGGGGTGGGGCTGGGTGCTGCCTTCTCTTCCACAGCCACATTCTTGGGGGGAGAGGGGACAGCAGCGGGGGCGGGAGTGGGAGGAGGACAGGAGACTGGAGCAGAGGGCACCTTTGCCTCCACTTTCTCAGAGGGAGGGGGCGGCTTTGGGGAAGCAGGTTTGGAATCTGCCTCCTTGCGGATCACTTGGATTGGGATGTGTCCGGGAAGGAGATCTGGTCCTGCCGGGCCTGCCTTACTTTCTGGCTTGCTGTCAGGTTGGGGAGCAGGTGGAGATTCTCGCTGGGCCATGGGCTGCTGTGAAAAAGAAGAGAGGACACAAAGGCAGGTTCAACCCCTGGCAGAACGTCCCGGGCGGCTGGGTGCAGCCAGTGCCAGTCAGAGAGAAATGGGCAATGGCTTTTTTTTAGGTTAATTGAGAGAGTCTAAAGTCAACCAACAGCTGGTACAAAACCAAAATGTGCCGTTAATCATGTAGGAAACCAAACCATTTGTTAGGCTTCTGGGAACCACCTTGGGCTGCTTGTGTTACCTCTCACAGAATCTCTCTGTAGACAGTGTTCAAACAGCAGTGAAAAGAAAACCAAGATGATTTTTTTTTTTTAAAGATTTATTTTATTTGAAAGAGTTACAGAGAGAGGTAGAGACAGAGAGAGACCTTGCATCCTCTGGTTCACTCCCTAGATAGCCGCAACAGCCAGAGCTGCACTGATCTGAAACCAGGAGCTTCTTCCAAGTCTCCCATGCAGGGGCCCAAGGACCTGGGCCATCTTCCACTGCTATCCCAGGCCATAGCAGAGAGCTGGATTGGAGGAGGAGCAGCCGGGACTAGAACCGGTGCCCATATGGGATGCCGGCGCTTCAGGCCAGGGCTTTAACCGGCTGCGCCACAGCGCTGGCCCCCTAGATGATTTTCAAAAATGAAAATAGCAAAGCCTCTTGCTGACTGCTGAGCCGACTTTGCTGATAACAGAGCGCTGAGTGGCTCTGACCATCGGGTGAGGCAGCTGGCGCCACAGGCCTGGCCCCCACTCCTTATGCCACGCAGCCCACTCATGGGGGAGTGGGGTGCAGGCCTTCTTTTTGTTAAAGCTATGACAGCCTAATAGTTTCAGCCAGGATAGTGGTTCCTGGTGTATTTATTTATTAATTTTTTTCAACAAACAAGATACTCACGGTCGTCAACTCCGTGAGAATTCTGCTTGGGCATACTCATGCCTGAACCTCACACTCAGCAACGCCTCCCATGCTGACTCCGGCTGTGGTCTCTCCTCGAGACTGTCGGCAAGAGCCATTTTTTAAAATGATGAGCTTGGGGCTGGCGCTGTGGCACAGTGGGTTAACCCCCTGGCCTGAAGTGCTGGCATCCCATATGGGCGCGGGTTTGAGACCCAGCTGCTCCACTTCCTATCCAGCTCTCTCTGCTATGGCCTGGGAAAGCAGTGGAAGATGGCCCAAGTCCTTGGGCCCCTACACCCACATGGGAGACCCAGGGGAAGCGCCTGGCTTCAGATTGGCGCAGTTGCAGCAAACTGGGGAGTGAACCAGCAGATGGAAAGCCCTCCTCTGTGTGTGTGTGTGTGTGTGTAACTCTTTCAAATAAATATATAAATCTTAAAAATAAATAAAGAAGGAAGAAAAACGATGAGTTATGCTCCGATCAGAAACACCTTGGTTCTTTTAGCATATAAATGAATATCTAAAATCTCCCCTAAGTCTCACGCTCCCTAATCTAATCAACTTGGCAGTGAAAGTCAGACTGTACTATTTCTAAAGTACACCCAATTTCAAATATTAAATCCTACCATATGTTATTAGGTCAAATCCTTCAAGGCCTCCAAAAAGGGATCCTGGAACAAAACTCTAGAAAGGTCACTGAGGGGCTGGTGCTGTGGTGCAGTAGGTTAAGCCCCTGCCTGCAGCACCAGCATCCCATACAGGCACTGGTTCGAGTCCCAGCTGCTCTACTTCTGATCCAGCTCCCTAATAGCCTGAGAAAGCTGTAGAATATGGCCCAAATGCTTGGGCCCCTGCACCCACGTGGGAGACCCAGAAGAAGCTCCTGGCTCCTGGCTTCCGATCAGTCCAGTTCCAGCCGTTGTGGCCACTTGGGCAGTGAACCAGCAGACGGAAGACCTCTCTCCCTGTAACTCTGCCTTGCAAATAAAATTTTTTTAAAAAAGAAAGGTCACCACGAACAAAGCTGATGGCAGTGACAACAGGGTTGAGAACTGTTCACCAATTACGCCGTGAGGATGCCACCACCACTCAGTGGGTGCTCCTGACCTGCAGGAGCCAGTGTGACTCGGCAGTCGCCCCGGAACCTGCTTTTCATCAGACCTGCTGTGACAGGGCTCGCGATGCGGTGCAGCAGGGTAAGCCGCCGCCTACATCACCGGCGCCCCTTATCAGAGCGCCATTTGTGGCCCGGCCTGGCCGCTCTGCTTCCTATCCGGCTCCCTGCTAAGGCAGCTAGGACAGCTGCAGACAATGGGTCTCTGGCACCCGCCTGGGAGACCTGGATGGAGTTCCAGGCTCCTGGCTTGGGTCTGGCCCAATCCCATTTGGGAAGTGAACCGGCAGATAGAAGATCTTTCTCTGTGTCTCCTTCTCGGTCATTTTGCCTTTCAAATAAAAAAAAAATCTTTAAAACAAACAAAAACCAAGACCAAATAAACAAACAAAAGCCTTTCCTATCACTCCAGATATCTCCAACTCTGGTCCTTACTGCTCCTGAGGCAACCCCATGGCCTCTTTGGGTTACACAATAATGGTGTGTAAGAAGCTACTTTAGGGGCCCGCTCTGTGTGTAGTGGGTTAAGTTGCAGCCTGCAGTGCTAGCACTCCATTGGGTGCTGGTTCTATCTGCAGCTGCTCCACTTCAAATCCTGTTTCCTGATAATGCACCTGAGCAAGCAGCAGAGGATGGCCAAGGCTTGGGTCGCTGCACCCATGTGGGAGACCGGAAGAAGCTCCTGGCTCCTGGCTTCAGTCTGACCCAGCTCCAGCCACTGTGGCCATTTGGCAAGTGAACCAGCTGATGGAAGGTCTCTCTGTCTCTCCCTCTAACACTGTCTTTCAAGTAAAATAAGTAAATCTTAAAAAAAAAAAAAAAAAGTCACTTTAGAAACATGCAGGAGACAGCGTTCTGTGGCCTGCACTCTTCAAATAACATCAAGGTCATGAAAGCAAAGAAGAGCCGAGGAACTGTTCCAGACCGAGAGCCCGCAGGGAAGTGACCTCTAAACGCAGAGCTCATGATCCTGGCCTGCATCCTGGAACACGGAGGACTGCGGGAAGGGAGGCTGAAAACAGACTCTGTACAGGCAAACAACACTGCGAGAATGCTAAATTTCCTGATCCAAGATTCCACGTGCTTAGGAATGAGAATATCTCTTCCTTATGAAAATCTTTGAAATTTGCATATAAAGAGGTCTCCAAAACTTTATGGAAATGCATTATAGAAAAATTACGTGTGGATTTCAAAATGTTCCAGAATAAACTGATCTTTTGGAGCCAGCACTATGGCGCAGTGGGTAAATCCTCCACCTGCAGTGCCGGCATCCCATATGGGTGCTGATTCCGGCCCTGGCTGCTCCACTTCTGATCCAGCTCCCTGCTTATGGCCTGGGAAAGCAGTAGAGGATGGCCCAAGTGCTTGGACCCCTGCACCCACATGGTAGACCTGTAAGAAGCTCCTGGTTCCTAGCTTCGGACTGGCCCAGCTCTGCCCACTGCAGCCATTTAGAGAGTGAACCAGCAGATGAAAGACCTCTCTCTGCCTCTCTGTAGCTCTACATTTCAAATAAATAACCTTTTTTTAAAAAATTTTTAAAAACTCATCTTTTTATTCCATGTTTCCATGAACTTTTGGAAGTCCCCACATATGTGGTTATCTACAGAGAGAAGAAATGACAAAGCCAAGCACAGCGTGACCGCGAGTCTGGGTGGAGGTTTATGGGCTTCCTCTGAAGGAGTCTGAAGACTTTCTGGTAAAATTAAATTCACTTCCAAATAAAAAAGAAACTTTGAAAGGCGGGTGCTCTGTTCAAGGTGCTCCAAGCAGCTATAACTAAACTCCTCCAGGAACCAGCACCTGCCATCTCCAGTGAAGGAAGAGCAGGCCTGTGCCCATGACCTTGACCGGGTCAGGTTTCCCATTCCTGAAGCTGGCCTTCTCCTTGGCCAGGCCCCGTGGTGCCCTGCTGCAAGATTTGAGACAAGCTCTTCTGGTGAGGCTCAGAGCTGAGCTGAAGAATTAAAACACACGGAATGATTACGTTCTGGACCTAGGGGATTCCCAGAGGCACTGAGAAGATGAACAGGCTTCATGGAAGACACGACCAGCTCATTCCCTGGGGAGAGGACTTGGAGTGCGTGGACATTCAGGGAGGGGCATCAGCCTGGGCAAAGGCAGAGGTGGGAAGGAGCAGAATGGGCTTGCAGAGCTGGAGGAACCCTGGGCACCTGCTCAGCGCTCCCAGTCCCTGGAGAGACACCCAGCTGCTGACCATGAACGTGCCATACCTGAGGCCTGTCCACCACAGTGTGCACACGGATGGGCGACTGCGAGAGCACTGGTGTGCTGCTTCTGGCTGGCGAGCCCTCCCGGCTGGACGCACCCCGTGCAGGCGATCTGAATGGGGACGGGGCCCGCAGGGGTCGGTGCTCCCAGTCATCCCCCTGGATCTTGTGGTACACTGGCTGGTGGGTCTGGTATTCACCCTGCTGAGCAGGGTAGTGGGTCTTCTGGGCTTGGTGGAAGGAGGGCTGGGCCACTGGCCGGGTGATGTTCTGCTCGTGTATCACCGGGATGGGGATGTAGCCCCGGGGCAGCTGGTGACTGCCCAGGCTGCTCCTGCCAGAGGAGGGCAGGCTGGCGGAGGACGACGAGGATGAGCAGTCGGAGGCAGCAGGAGACTGGGACCGCTGCAAGAGACAAAGGGGAGACGGTGTGACCCTGTGAACGACCCCCAGCCCGGCACTCCAACCAGGCCCTCCGTTGTGCACCTGCTCAGGGAAACACACCGCCTAACACCTCCCTTCGGCAGACAGCTCCATTTCCAGAACCTAGGGTTAAGACTTAGAGCTCGGGCCAGCACAGTAGTGTAGCAGGTAAAGCCGCCACCTACAGTGCTGGCATCCCACATGGGTGTTGGTTCAAGTCCCAGCTGCTCCACTTCCGATCCAGCTCTCTGCTATGGCCTGGGAAAGCAGAAGATGGTCCAAGCCTGCACCCATGTGGGGACCTGGAAGAAGCTCCTGGCTCCTGGCTTCAGATCAGCACAGCTCTGGCCATTGTGGCCAAGCGGGGAGTGAACCAGTAGATGGAAGACCTCTCTCTCTCTCTCTCTGCCTCTGCTTCTCTGTAACTTTGACTTCCAAATAAATAAATCTTAAAAAAAAAAAAAAAAAAAAAGAGCTCCAGAGTCAAGAGGCCTGGGTTCAAATCCTTAAGAGCTCTGTGGCTTTCTGAGCCTCCACGGGAGGCCAAACTTCTCCCTAACTATGGAACAAGATTCACTGCTCTCACGGGGCGTTCTGAAGATGGAAATGAAATCAGCTGTGCAAGTGCCTCAGCCACAACAGCTACACAGGAGGCACTCGGCTCCCTGCAGTTACTGTCTCTACCCCACCCCCGTCCCATCCCTTAACCTCTTCTCTCCAAGCTCAGCTGAGCACCTGGGCGCCACGGCTGTCCCCGGTGTGGGCCACGGCTGTCCCCGGTGTGGCGCGTGGCACATCAGGCCCTTCCCCTCCCGAGCTACCTCTAATCACCTAGAGATGGAGGAAGACGATTCCCCTAGTCAGGCTGCATTTGCTAAGATTTCTCTGACTGGTGGGGCACTTTACAGATCTCAGTCCTGGGAAAGGCAGGAGGGCTCTCAGGACCCCTGTCAACGTGACCTCTCACCCTCCTGCAGGTGGGGGAGCCGAGCACCCACCACTCTGGAAGCAGACAGGAAACGAGGATGTGTGCTTGGGAACAATGAATGCTGCAGACACAAGGGGATGAGCTGCGGCCCAGAGAATGAATCCTGCAGGGTCCCTGGGCCGCGGGTTTCAGCTAAGAGACAGAGGAAGCCAGGTTTGAGCTATTAATGCCCTCAATCCATCAACATGCCCTGAAGTATTTGGCTTCAGGAGCGAAACCCAATCTGCTATCGACGCCTCCCTGACTCCTTGTTCTGGATTTCCTGTTTCAGCCAGTGCGAAGCCGGGAGGGCTGGGATGTGGTCTCGGTTTCCTAACAGCACAGCTCCGAGGGCTTAGGATCCACTCCTGAGCACCAAGCACCATGGACAAGCACCTCTCTGTGCTTTGGAACTAGAAAGCCCTGTGTGAAAGGGGGGCCCCAGCTTGGAGCCAGAGCCCGAGTGTCCAGTCCCAGCTCGGCAACTTCCAGCTCCGTGCACGTTCACACAACGCTGGGGCTGACGTGCGGCCAACAACCTGTCCTTGCTGGGTGACCTCCGCCGCCGCCAGCCAGGCCCAGATAGATGCCCTGCTCATTAACAGGCGCCTGGCCTAGGGCCAGGCCTCTCTTACCTCAGGTCCATGGGAGACTGGGGGCTGGGCTGCCGCAGCTGCCACCGCCTGTGCACACTGTTGTTTCTCTGGCTGCGTGGCATCCGGCACAGCCCGCAGAGGTGACTGGGACCTCTGCGGCGCAGCGGCGGCTGCCTCGGTTCGGAATCGCTGTGCCCCAGGCTGGGAATAGACGTGGAAAGTGTGCGGCTGCCGGTTCTCAGCGCCTTCGTGGAGGACGGGGATGGGAATGTAGCCTGGTCGGAGCTGGGGGTACACAGGGTGGCCCTCCCTAGCGGGCAGCAGCCTGGCACCCTCCCGCGAGGGCCCATTGGCTGAGGATGGAGTCTCCTAAAGGGAAGAAACACAGATGGGTTAGAAACTGGTAAGAAAACGCTGCGAGAAGGCAACTGTGGCATCGAGAGCGTGATCTCCCAGAGTGCTCTGCACCCCAGAGTGTCAGCTGGGACGCGCCCAGCCCCCTGCCTCTGCCACCAGTTCTACTGCTGTCTGGGGGCATCAGGAGAGAGGTGAGCCAGGGTAGCTGTGGAGCACGAGTTCCCAATTCCCAAACTGACAGCAGTGAATGAGAGCAGCCGACTGTCCCCAGATCTTCAGAGATCCAGACCAGAAGGTGGGCCCTTGGAAGCAGGGTCCAGCTGCAACCACCACCAATGTATAGCAAAAAAAAATTAATAAAAGATCACCTCCTAGATTTCCAGTCCAAACACAAACACAGAACACAGTTGGGAAGTCTTTGCAGAGAAGTGGGGTGGCACAGGCGCTGCCCCTGCAGCGATATGGTCAGGAACAACCAGAAAGGCAGGGCCAGCCGGGAGGGGAAGCATCTGGGGATTCCCTGAGCTCGGCTTCCACAAGGATTCTTTGCTCAAACTTTATTTCAGATTTCAGAACCTTCTTCTCCTAGGCCCATCAGCGCATTCCCCTGTAAGATCCAGTTTTAGCAGAAGAACCCTGCTCAGTTGGTTTAGCCAGAGTGCCCCACCCTGGATATCTGATCCACTTCCTCAGCCTCCAGGGTCTGCTGCAGCAAGAATCCTGTTAGGTAGGTTTGGCCAGAATCTCTCTGACCCTGACTTCCCTTAGTCACTTTCTGTCCAGGGCCACACCCTGCTCCGCAGCTGTAAAGCCCCCCTTGCCCACATCGGTCTCTCTGCCCCGCCCCTGCCCGTTGCAGGCTTCCTTGTGGACCTCAGCCCAGGCCCCCGAGTCAGTCTCCTCTAGCATTACAGGGCCCGCTCTTGCGAGCAGTGGCTGGGGACCCCCTCTTCCATCCTCTCTCGCAGTCTCCCTTCAGTGGCCTGGCTATTTTGGGACCCTTGAGAAGGCCGCGTTCCAGATGCTCCGCAGGGAAAGATCTTATTTCAGACAAGGCCGGTGGGTCACTGGGCACTGCCATCTCTCAGCACACAGAGGCTGTGCAATGAAGCCCTGACCCCTTGGACTAGGGCTCCTTTCACGGGGTGGGGGAAGGGCACTGATCTGTGTCATCCGTACACATCCCAGTGCACAGACCCCTGAGCCCTTCCTGTAGGAGGAGTCTTGCTGAATGGCAAGCACACGTGGGGAATCTAAGCTTGCACAGTACAAGTCCCACTGGCACACAATCCACCAAAAGCAAGACAGACAACAAGGGCTGCTCTGCATTCTGAGTGCAGACAACACTAACTGCAATCCCGCTGAGACCCTGCCTAGGGCGGGCGTCCAGCACACAGAAAAGGCAAGGGTGTCGCCCTGTCCTTGGGGACACAGGCAGGCAGGCAGTCTCAGATTAGAATAGCCACGTGCTCAGGGCGGCAGCATTATTTTAGCCTGCTTAACTCTCAGGTCACCCAAGAGCAGGCAGTGGGTCTGGACGTCAGATTCGGAACCCAGTTCCTGCCGTGGGACAGGCAGTAAAAGGCAGCAGGCTGGAGGTGCTGAGAAAGCTTCGGCTGCTCCGCCGAGAGCCACAACACGCCCTCCCGGAGTGCCGTCCACCCCAGCCCACCCCCACCTCCTTCCAGCTGCAATCTCGGCCTGCACGGCCATGCGATGTCATCTCTGCTGGCTGCCTGCAGGCTCACTGCTTCTCCCCAGACACTGCACACTCCAGAGCCCAGCAGTCAGGACACCTTCACCACGTGCTGGTGGGTCTCTCGGGCTCACCAAACCAGCAAGGCACCCTCTCTTGCAACAAGGAGCTTAGAAGATGGGTTAAGGGTGCCTGGGGCAAATATAAAGAGGCCTGAGGTACGGGGGAGATGGGGCTTTCAAGGGTGGAACCAGCCTGGATGGGAGCCAGCAACACTGAGCCTGCAGAGCTGCAGTGAGGTTTTGTAAGACCCATGAGAAGGGACGCAGGGGCCTGCGACAAACAGGAGCTCCCCCTACATAGGCACAAGACAGTGCCTGTCAGACTGGGGGGGGGGGGGGACAGGGGGATGGGGGCACGGCAGCGGAACCAAGGTGAAGGACAATCAACAGTGACACAAGTCAAATGGTGGTCACCCCAGAGGAGAGGACATGGCCAGACAGGGGTCTGAAAGAACCTTCTGAGGTTCTGTCTTCTGGGGGCAGGAAATGGGTGTGCTCCTGTGAAAACCTGTCCAATAATACCTTCTCTGTAGTCCCGACACTGCCACCCCCTAGAATCCTTAGCTAGGCCTGGCTGAGCTCTCGGCTCTACCTGGAGAAAGCCCCTGTGTCCAGGAAGCTGGCCTTATCTGTATCTTACTGACCATATTCTGTACCTCAACTTTAAGAGACAAGAGAGGGGCCAGACAGTGGTTAAAGCCCCAGCCTGCAGTCCCGACATCCCATATGGGAGCCAGTGTGAGTCCTGGCTGCTCCTCTTCCAATCTAGCTCTCTGCTGGGGCCTGGGAAAGCAGCAGAAGATGGCCCAAGTTCTTGGGCCTCTGCACCCACGTGGGAGACCAGGAAGAAGCTCCTGGCTCCTGGCTTTGGATCAGCTCAACTCTGGCCATTGCGGTAATTTGGGGAGTGAACCAATGGAATGGAAGACCTTTCTTTCTCTCTGGCTCTACTCTGGCTCTCTATAACTGTCTTTCAAATAAATCTTAAAAAAGGGGGGGGGGAGAAAGTGAGGGAGGGAGACGAGGCTATGGCAGCACAGGTTTCAGCCTGGGTCCCCATCAGTGCCACGTCTGGGTCGGGGGAGGAAAGACCGTGATCACAGTAGGTGGGGATGGTGGGGTCAGAGACAGCTGGAAGTGGGGCCTTGGCAGGCACTGAATTGCAGAAGATGAGGCTGGGGACCAGGGGCCACGCTGGAAGCAAAGACCCCTATCCTCTGTCCTTAAGAGTTCCAGCACAGCCAGAGAGCCTCAGCAAGATGGGAGGGACAGGAAGGAGAAAGCAGGGCACATTAGGGATGAGAGCGAGGAGGGGAGGGCGGAGCTGACCAAGGAAGACACGCTCATGGAGAAAGCGTCCCGAGCGGCTGGCAGTTCTCCCAGGAGAAGTGAAGGCAGGGGGCTGCCACTGACACTGTGAGCACGGGCTCTCTGCTGGATGCCACTGTCGGCTCCTCAGGGGGGCAGGCAGAGGTGGGTAAGACAAGTAAGGATGGCCAGAGGCTGCTGTCTGCCAACTGAATCTGCATCCCTGGGTCTGTGTGAATTAATAATCCACTTGGGCCATTTAATTAAAAAACTGCATCTATGGCCGGCGCCGCAGCTCACTAGGCTAATCCTCCGCCTAGCAGCGCCAGCACACCGGGTTCTAGTCCCGGTCGGGGCGCCGGATTCTGTCCCGGTTGCCCCTCTTCCAGGCCAGCCCTCTGCTGTGGCCAGGGAGTGCAGTGGAGGATGGCCCAGGTGCTTGGGCCCTGCACCCCATGGGAGACCAGGAAAAGCACCTGGCTCCTGGCTCCTGCCATTGGATCAGCGCGGTGCGCCGGCCGTGGCGGCCATTGGAGGGTGAACCAACAGCAAAGGAAGACCTTTCTCTCTGTCTCTCTCTCTCACTGTCCACTCTGCCTGTCAAAAAAAAAAAAAAAAAAAAAATATTAAAAAAAAAAAAAAAAAAACTGCATCTATAAGAAGTGCCAAAGGCTGGTAATGCAGTGCAGGGGTTAAGCTGCTGCCTGCAACACCAGCATCCCATTTGGGCCCCACTTAGAGTCCAGGCTGCTGCTCCACTTCCAATCCAGTTCCCTGTTAATGCACCTGGGAAAGCAGCAGAGGACAGCCCAAGTCTATGGTCCTTGCACACATATGGGAGACCCGAATGGAGTCCCAGGCATCTCACTTCATCCTGGCCCACTCCCATCTGTTGCAGCCATTTGGGGAGTGAACCAGAAGATGGAAGGCCTTTTCTTAAAAAAACAAAAAAATTTCTGTATTTATTTGAAAGGCAGAACTGGGGAGAGAGATCGATCTTCCATCCACTGGTTCACTCCCCAAATGGCCACGATGGCCAGGAGGAAGCCAGGACTTCCTACGGGTCTCCCACGCGAGTAAAAAGCACCACCTGGAAGCGTGAACTGCCCTTTTATCCTCTACACTGCTCTCAAAACATTCTAGTTTAAAAAAAGATTTGTCAATGAAAAGAATAATGTGTAATATTTATAATTCCCCTACAAAACATGGCTCTTCAGTCCACCAAGCCGTGTTCTCAAGTTCAAGCCCACATCCAGAGACAGCCTTGGTGATGCAAGCCTCTTTCAGCGCTGGCTTCAGTGGGGTCCTGGGAAGCCACCTCCTCGAGGTTGGGGACAAGTGGGGAGACTGTGTGATCACATGACAGGGGCTGGAGCACGGGGCCACACGTCTTCACTGTCTCACTGTGGCCTTGGCCTGTCTGCAGCTCAGCTCTCCGTCCTTATCCTGGGGTAAAGGCATCAGAAATGTACACAAAATCCAAGCAGGAAGTAAGAGCCAAGGGCCTGACAGTCACTGCTTAGCTCACTATATTCATTCATACAACCAACTGGTTCATTAAAACCGGCTCAGGTGTGTCCTGGGGGCATCCAACAACCCATGAGAAGGCTAGGATAAAGAGCAGGGAAAATGAGCCCTGGGGAGCCAAGTAGACGATACTACTGCAGAAAGCCTGAGGTCAAGTTCTGACTGGGGTGAGCTGATGAGCTTGTCTGTTGTTAACAGCATGCTCAGTTTCTAGTCAACACCAGGGGACGACCAGGACACCCTGGTTTTGCCCTACATGTGTGACAGAAGCAGCCTGCAGCCCCTCTTTCCTGAGATTTATTTATTTATTTATTTATTTTGACAGGCAGAGTGGACAGTGAGAGAGAGAGACAGAGAGAAAGGTCTTCCTTTGCCGTTGGTTCACCCTCCAATGGCCGCCGCGGCCGGCGCGCTGTGGC